CGCCAACCGTTTTTTTGGACTCCGATGATTTGGACTTGTTTTATATTTCGGACCTAAAGGCGGAACCGTGACTTACCCCATAGAAATAGTGTATATTCACGACCAATGTTTCAGACAGCTTCAAGTCCAAAAGTTTGATTATTCGGACAAAATCATCGCGAGCGATCAGCGTAAAACACCATAGAGAAGAGGCCATTTCGAATTCTATGTTGGCTGCCAATGGATTGGCTTGGTTTGCCAGCGCTACTTGAGCACTCCTGAGTCCTACCGCTAGGCGACGCTATGCTAGCCCTTTCTTTCCCATTTAGCTGCACGTCATCATCATCATTATTATCATTTTGCTTTGTTTTTCGTTCCTTCGCGTCGCCAGTCGCCATTTTGCGCTCGTGGATTTGCGCTGGCTTCGACGTCATGGCCCCATTTGTTCTTCTGCTACTCGACCATAACGCTAGAAATGAAGGCAGCGATTCTCAAGCTAACAGAAAGTTGTCGAACGGAAACGGAGGCGCAACTTAAAACAAGGCACGCAGGCGTAACCTGAAACAAGGCACTATTTACGGCTTTTTAAAGCCCACTTGGAAGTAATAAAGGCGAGTTTTTCAGTCTGCTGATTTTTCGGACTGGTCTATTATTCGGACGTTTTTTCGGTCCCAGCGAAGTTCGAATAACCGGTCGCCGACTGTACCTTTTTACTATGAAATTCACCACTTTGTAAATAAAGTGAGGATGTAAAGCGAGATGTGCATTAGATGAACCGGAAAAGGCAGTGCCTCAATGTTGGCAATTGAAGTTTCCGACACAGGCAGGTTTTTATTGGTGGCCTGAAAAACATACCCGAAATTTAGAAGCAAACCATCCATTACATGCTTGCACGCTCGCATATGCATGTTCTAATGAAACTACAGCATGTGGCGTTTTGCTGCTGGCCATCGAACTAGTTCCAAGTGGATACCTGGCAGTGTAACTAAATAACTTCATTATGTTATCACTGCAGTAAGCACAGGTACACGGCGTACTGCCGATTCTTTTGGTGGGTGCACGGAAGGCTGGGAAAGGAGAACCGGGTAACCTTGCCCAGCTGCGTGGTGACCAGGCTGCACAAACAGTTCCCCGCCCCGAACCCTGCAGACTACACGGGCTTCAAGCAGTCATAATGCTGAGTAAGTTGGCATGCTATCCACCTTCAAATCTCTTAAATATGTATCTTTTCCTACCAAGCACTTGGGAGCAACAGTCGCTCCAACCTATTGTTGGCGCTGTACAAGTAATGAGGCCCAAAATATCTTTTAACCTTAAGATGTTTTGTCTGCCATGGCAATGAGCATGATCTAGCATGAGAATGCTCGCACTCACTGCCAGAACAAATAGTCCAATTAAAGTTTGGTCTTCATTTGTCAAGCTCCCTCCACAAATCAGTGAATTGCTTTTTCCGGTGTTTTGCAAAAAAAAAAAAGGAAAGATGTAGCTTTCAGGAGAAGTACGTAATTAACGTTCGAATAAAGAGATCAATATTTGACATACAACAAAGTCACTGTTTACTGCAAACTAACCAATTTTTTACTTTAAACGATCAGAGACCGAAGACGAGGAAATGGGCCAGAGACATTTTGAAAAGGGGCTCATGGCAAGGAGCTGGTGGCCGGGGAGCGCGGGGCCCGGGGCTCGTGCTCGGAACTGATCAGATTGACACGTCAGATCGAACTGCTTTGTTGCTTGCGCATAGTGTAAATAAATGTTTGCTTCAACGTAACTAACGATGACTACCAGAAGTTCCTGCATTTAATGCTGAAACCCGAGACGTAACGAGTCAACAAAGGAAATCTGGTAGACCGAAGCAATACGAACGACAGAAGCAAGCAACATTCCATCGAGACAAGCCTGAAAGATCATGGACATCCTCAAGAAGAAACGGAAGACCCTGCAAACGCAAGTAACGAAACTCCTCAGCGAGGCAAAAGAATTATTTCAGCTGATTCCGGCAGCCATTGATGATTTAGAGATTTTGATCGAGCGCATAAGCCTCTCTCGGGATCAACTCAGCCACGTAGATGCCACGATTGAGCTATTGAAACTAATAAGTCGTTCTAGCTGCAATATCGGGCGCAATAGTCAGCAACGAATGGTGCAGGAGGCTTTCGCTTTGCCTTACCTCACTTAAATCGCAAAGCATGAGCAATGACCTCGACGCATTCTTTAGATAGTCTTTCCATTCTGGCCATTCCTAAGCCTAAATGAACGCGATAATTGTCGGCATGCCAACGTCTTTGGAAAGCGGATTGCCTTGACTCAATCGGCCGGGTATTGATAGCACACAAAAGCAGACAGCGTCCCAATAGACCTTTCTCTTAATTACCCAAGCATCGAGGAGAACACTGAAAGTGTAATTCTATGGTCCACGAGCGCTGGCCTTCCTCTTATAAAAGATTCGAAGTAGATAATCATAAGGCTTTGACAAGCGTGCGTGCAAGGCAAAATCTGTTTTAGACTTTTTGCTTTAGAACAATTACTACTGCAGACGCCAGCACGTCTGCCCACATCTCATTGCGCAATGTGTGGCACTGCTAGTGGCCGGACCTGTTTGTAAACATGAGTTGGTGTATACTTCACAGCATCACTTGGTATGAAACACTAACATGACAACACTGTTAATATGCTGTGGTCTACTTGCCCTCAGGAAGCTGCTTTTTCTTCCCCAGGTCTCCGTGCTGGCACCTTGGATACAGGGGGTTGGCATGTTCGTGCAAGTCAGCCACGTGTCCCACCAGGGAAGTCCACTTTGGAAGGATCTCCTCCGGCGCTCCATTGCTCGATTCCGCACACCAATAAAGGTGCTTGACGATTGCCTCCACCCAGTCTTGGAGTCCCACAAGGGACTCGAGTTTTCCAGCTGAGACCAAGCGTTTCTTGATGCCTGAAAAATGAAGCATTGCATTCATTCTGCTAAGCCCCAAGCTTAGATTGCCAGAAACCACAGCTTGACAAAATAAAGAGTTCATAATTATGAACACCAAAAACAAGAAAAACCCAATTCTGCCCCATTTTCTCAAGTATAAAAAAAAACATGGCGATATCTCACTCTAGGACACTTTCCTGTATTAAAGGCTTTTAGACGCTTCCGTCAAGTGTAAAGATTGTGCCCGCTGTCTTCCATGCTGAGAAAATAGTTAAGGGACGGAAGAAACATCAAAATCCAAGCATTTTGGGCTCCGGCAACATGCGTGCGCACGGCCTGGCAAGCGAGATTGTTTCTAAGCGCTCTGGGGACGCCACCTCGCTTCACCTCGCCCAACCTTGCCAACCGCGACCGGACCCTGAGGCCGAAAGGCTCTGGCGCAGCCAGGAACGGCATTGAGGTTGCAGCTCCTCCTTCTGTGCTACCATGCAGTGCTCAGAGTTATCGGCGTCGTTTGTCCTTGCACTGAAGCCTCTAGGGCCTCCTTCGGACGCGAGGGTCCTGTTTCACAAGGCTTGGACAAGGGCCGCCCTCACCAAGCAGCTTCGCAACCTTCCGCTCACTTAGTTTGACAATAAAAGCTTGCGGTTCTTCTCTTGAGAAAATTGCGGGTGACCCCACGGGACTGCTCTCCGCCGCCACCGAGGATCACTATGTTCTCAGTAGTGCACTCGCTCCCACAGTGGGTGCCTTCCCATAATCCTCCCCGATCCAAATTGCAATGCAACCTCCATTTACATGGTTTGAATAAATGCCCATTCGCCCTCTCAATCCACCTCTGTCCAGGGACTTGAATGCGATGCGCTCCCCTAGAGTATTATTTTGTTTACATGACCGCATTGAATGCAACAACTGGATTCAAATCGACTAAGTCGCAATCATGTAAACGCAAGTTATGTTTCAGCTTATATTGTACCGCAGCGAAAACTAGAAGCGCAAGCTCATGGCCTTGGCAGCTGCTTCTGCTGCACGAGAGCTTGTGCCGCCGAGCAGTTGCCACAGAGCAAGGAGCTCATGCTTGTAGCCTTTCCTGCAGTACAACATGCGCAGAAACAAACTATAGTGACATGCAAGGGTAAGAGCGTTCCGCAATTAAATATTTTGTTTTTGCATAACCTGGAACCCCGATTACTTATGGCTCACCTTTTGCAACGTGCCGGCAGTCGAACATGTGCCGAATCTGGGGGTACCACTTGGCAAGGAATGACTTGATCATGGAGTGGCGATCAGTGATGATTCCTCCCACAGTCAATCCATTGGCTTCACAAACCACTAGAGTTCTTTTCAGGCCCTTGAGCTCCATTGCCCAGCTGCCCTTGGTTTCGTTGGACTGAAGCGACAAATAGAACATTGCATTATCACACCAAACATGAAGTATCCAGAACAAAGTCAACTAGACCTGTTGAATGAGACAATGCATGTCTGAAAAATGTTGTTTTCGCCATTCATTTTCACTTAATTACAGAAAGGTTTCATTTCAGTGGAACAGAAGCATCAGAACATTTATAGCAGGGGAATTTACCTGCACTGTTTCCACATGGAGAACCTTGTTCGTTGACACGTCAACAACGGTGTACGTTCCATATTTCGCTGAGTGCCCGGGGGAGTCTGACCGCCCATCACCAGCGAGGACCAGTTCTCGTCCACTTGCTTGCTCAAAGAGCTCGTTTTGTTTCCTGTTCCTCACCTGGAAGTCTATTTGCAAAGACTTTTCTAAACAAACATAAATCCTGGACATGTTTTTCATTTCACCTATAAGTATACTGCAAGCTTCTTTCGTTTATGTGAACTCCCATTGAAGTTGAGCATTTAAGTTTCAATCCCAGCTAATGCGATCAAAGCATTGACAAATTGTAATTTGTCTTTATATTCAAAATGAGGGGATGAAATGCTCCATGTCGTGGGTATAAATACTGAAGGCACATATGCACATTTAGGTAGATTGGCAAAACACTTTGTTTTTTCTATTATCCATGCATGGGAAAGTTGATGAATAGCTTTTGACACTTTCCGCATTGAAACTCAAGCAGCATAGTGTTGGACTTACTTAGGTCGCATAGACCCCTGCCTGTTCAGGTCTTGTTCCCCTCGTAGCATTCAACAAGCACAGTTTGGCTGCCGAGGAGCTGCCTTCTCAAGAGCGACCTTGAAGAAATGCCACTCGGTATAAAAATAGAGTACTGGCCAATTAATCTTTACAATCGAACTGGGGAACATCTATTGTTGCTTCTTTTACTTATTCCCCACATCAAAATCTGTCCTTTACGCTGCCCACTTCTCCAGTAGGTGCAGTCAGTCACAAAGCAGGAGAATAAGAACTGAAAACATTGCCTCCCCGTTCAGAAACCAAGGAGGCGACGGTTTCCCCACATGGAATGCGGCGAGTCTTCGAAGTATGTGCCCTGTATTACTTTGCACACACAGTTGGTACCTTTCCACCCTCGGAGTGTGGTCAAAATAGGAGCAGAGGACACATCTCAACTCTCCCTATTTACGATATTTTCCGGCATGTAAATTGTTTCTTTCCTCAAATTTCTCTCAGTGCATCTTACACAAAGGTGCGACTTACTTTTTTTAACAAGTATAAACCATAGCTGTGCAAGGCCGTATCAACAGTTACAACAAAGGGAAATCGGCAGAGCCCGTAGTTTGTATTGCATCGCACAGACCTAGATCCATTAGATGTAGCCTTCGGGTACTGTGGCTTTTCCTTACAATCGGAACCTTGGCAATATGCCGGCTTCCAGCAAAGCTTCCAGCCGGCCACATCAGAACACCTTTCCCACGGTAGTTCGCAAGAACATTGAAGCTAACTCTTACTTGTGCTTATATTACAATATACATATGACAGCTCATCGATGCAGTTTTGCCTTGCGGTCCGTATAAAGATGTGCCACCTATAGACGTTTGCAAGTCCGCGGCCTCGGGGCGCTGCCACCTTGCTCAGTTGGGGTGCACTTGGGTACGCCAAATTGGATTATGATGCCTCACTAAGGTGTCGTAACCAGACTATGGCCACGCCCAAGCATACCCCAGCTCGGCAAGATGGTGGCACCCTGGGGCCGTACTTGCAAACATGTATATATCAACCTTTTTGTAAAAACAGCCGTTTATAGGAGTGTGTGACTTGTAGACAGAAACATATGGTGCTTCAAAGGATGTACTGCACCATTCAGGATCCCATAAGAGTGCTGAGCCTGAAATATTGGCACCTAAAATAAACCCCTTTCACAGGTACGGAAAAGCTTGAAACGTGCCATACCTGTCTGATTGCTGGTAGAAGGAAGGCACCCTGAATCTTGAAGTATGTCTCGTACGAGAAACAGGGCACGCCCATCTGGCGGAGGAGCCTCAGCACTTTTTTGACGATGCTCCCAGAGAAGAGTGTTGCTGCAGCTAGGAGCACATTGCCTAGGGCCCTCCTATTCACTGGTGGTTGGCTGGTCCAGGTGTGTTGGTGGCCATTGTTGCACATTCTGTGCACCCGGAGACACGTCCCTTTGAGCTTCTTCTCTGTGATGCGGCACAGTGCTGTGTACTCAGGTCAATTACCCAGTAGCTCGTCCAAACAAGACTCGAAAACAATAAACTTTCGTTCCGAGACGTAGTCGATGCTTTTGCTGCTCTCATGCTGACTGAGTGCGCTGTCACATGCGGTGTTCTGTTGTGCATCCCTGAAATAAAAAAAATAAAAAAAGAAGCAACCTCTTACACACCCCCTCATACTCTTTACTAAAGATGACATATATCCGACTGATACCAACCTCAGAAAGCCGGTGCCGGACATCATCATGAGAAAGCTAGCGTCAGAGGGGAGCTCATTGTCTATTGTTGGCAGCTGTGGTGGGTCTGGTGGTAGAGCTGGTTGTCTGGGCTCTGGCGGCTGTGGCGACAGCGTCAGCCCTTCAGGCAACATCCAATCCAATGGAGCCTGGGGGACATGATTTGGTGAGGAGCATTGTGGTGTCACGAGGACAGGACTTGTTTGGGACTGTCGTGATGAAGTCTTCATGGTGACTTGTATGCCTGTGCCATCATAACGTGTTACAACGATCTAAACAATGCTGCCTTCTGAGAAATTTCTTTTTGCAGATACGTACATTGATTTCTGTAGATGCCCGAGGTCTGCGTAGCAGCGGTCCGAAGGTCAGGAGCCTGTTTGGCATTACTGATGGAGGGGGCTGTTCATAGCAGAGGAAATAAAGTGTGTTTCAAAACAAAATCACCCTTGGCTCATGCAGTCAGCAATACAGTGAAACCCGTTTATAACGAACAGCAGGAAACACTACGATCAGTTCGATATAGCAAGTAGTTCGATATAGCAAAACCCACTTACAAAACCGAGCTACGACTTTCCCGGCGATTAAATATGGATCTTTAAATCGCTGCAGCCACCCAGATCCAGCGGTGAAGCCCTCAACGTTCAGGAGGGGTGCAAAATCTCTTGCCTTGCTTTGCAACATTGGTCCGGAGACCAGCAGGTTCCGCGCACAAATGTCCAAAAACCATTGGTACAGCGCTTTTTCCACCTTGCCGTACGCCGGCTTGCGGATGCGCCTGCTGTCCGCATTTAGCCGTTCACGGGCCTTGTCTCGGATGGCAGACTTGTTTTTAAGAATTGTACTCAGCATACTTCTGGGGATCTTGTAGGCAGCGGCAACGTCTGATTTCTTTTCGCCGTGCTCCACACAACTGATGATGTCGACCTAGTCGGAAAGTGGCAGAGCCTGCCGCTGCTTCGTCGTCATTTCGGGCGCGAACTAGCTGGCCCGTACAGTGAACAGAAAGTGCATTGGGGACAAGAAAGACGACAACAAACAACGACTAAATTAACGAGAAGAAAGGAGGGAGGGGGAGAGAGAGAGCTTTGCCTGTGGTTGACGCTTTCAACGGCATGTGACAATGCTATGGAATCTGAAATGCGATAGGCTTATTGCTTCTTGGGGCGTGGTGTGTCAAGCCCCAAGTGAATGCGCAAGGTGAGGAGGGTCAAACTAGAGTTCCTTCAAGTTCTCTTCGGCGGGACATAAAGGCCCCCTAGGTCAAACTAAAGTGACTTTAGGTGAAACAAGGCGCGAAGGGAGAGGAGGCGAGAACTTCTTTTTCTTTCTCGTCTCTTCGCTTCCGCCTTGTAACAACGCGCTAGAAAGGTTTTTTTTTTTTTTTTTAGCTTACCTACGTTTTTTAATTGCTTTTCTTCGTAAGCAACCGCTTCGCACTTAAAAGATTTCTTTTTTTTTTCTGTGCCCTTCGGAATCGCTTTTCTTCGCTTATTTTTGTTTGCAGCTCGAGCTTTTGGAATTTTTTTTCTTTCCTTCACTTTTTCGGGCGAAGGCATTGGCTGAAAGACGATCGTTTGCGCGTTTTTGGAAGCCTTCCCAGGGGGAAAAAGTTCGATATAGTCAGTCTGTTGTCCGTTACAAAAAGTACTTTTCACATACATTTTGATTTAAATTTTTCGTGAGTTCGATATCGACAATAATTCGCTGTATGTGGGTTCGTTCTAAACGAGTTTCACTGTAGACTATAGATTACCCTAATTTGGCAGAATTAACTACTAAAAGATGTAAGCTGAGTGGTTTCAATCGGCGCACATACCTGAGCTCGAAAAAGGTTTTTCGATGCCAGCACTTGCATCGTGCATTGGTTCATGTCCAGAGTCAGGACCTTGCTCTGTGTCGTCAGCAGAAGGGGTTGACGATGTGCTGACCTCTTCAGCGATGAGTGTGGCCGTTGCTTGTGCCGGTGCCTTCATTAATTCGTCAATTATCTATAAATAATAGGCATAAAAACTTACAACACGCAAAACAAACATGCACTGTCAATATGCTGCTAACACCCAGGTTTGGCTCAAATGAGGGTGACTGGCCCGAGCCCTTATCTTTGTTAGGCTCATGTCACTCTGTGTACCCTCCTCATCTGGACTTTACTTGAACTGGTAAGCAAATTGCACCGTCAAGTGCACAATCATGAACACTAAGATGGAACGGTCTAATGACGACCAAAGTTAATTAGTGGCCTCGAGCCGAGAAATTGAACAAGCACTTATAATAGCCTCATGATTGGGGTGCAACTGTCATAAATGGCCAGCTGGTGCTCCCAGTGAACTTTATAAATAAACACCATATTCCACGAGATTAAAACAAAGTAACTCAGCAAAAGATGCCACAGTGTTTATTTTTGTTATAAATTGGCACACATTTAGCAGCATCTATTTTTGGCACAAGAATCAATTTTTGCTGCAATTTAATTTCCTACACCACCAGGTTTTTAGGCCTTCTCGGCACTTGTCGTCTTGAAGCATTATTGCGAGCATGTATTCAATGCATGGGAAGAACATAGAGGAAACAAGATCTTATAGACCGACACACTGTTTCCCAACAAGCCTGCATTCACCCACACCAGGGACTGCGCAGAAACCCAATTCAAGTGTCTGCGCCTGCACAGTGCCGTTAACAGCGCCACCGCAGCTGCGTGACATCAGGGCCGCCTGTTGGTCTACAGTCGAACCTCGTTATATCCAACAGTGCGAGAACCGCCAAATAATTCAATATAACCAAAATTCTATATACAAAATCACACCAAAAACGCGTCAAAGTGCATCGCGATTCAATCACTATCAAGCTTGCGGCAAGAACGACTACTCACGTGAAGCTTTAAGGTTAACTATTTATTTCGGCGAAGAAAACTGCCGCAGCGTAGATTGCTTCTTGGAGTAGACCGCATGCCTTACTATGACCCGCTCCATGGTCTCCAAGTCCACAAGCACCTTACCACTACCGTTGGAATTGCGCTTCAGTAGCGGCGTAAAAGCATCAAAGCAGCCACAGTTTCACCCCAAGTCGGCCAAGTTTTGTGCTTGGTGGATGAACGCAAAGTCTTTTGCTTTCTGTTGAAGCATCGGCCCCGATATCGGAATGTTCCGAGCCTTTGTGTCCATGAACCACTCGTAAAGTAATCTTTCCACCTTTTCGAAAACCGGTGTCCGAACACGGTGTACGCCGGAGTGCTTGCTTTGTTCAGCCTTCGATTTGATGTCACTGTTTGTCTTCAGCAGCATGCTCAAATTTCTTCGCGGTATGTTGTACGCTTCGGCAACGCTGGACTTCTTTTCTCCGTTTTCGACGTGGCAGATGATTTCAAGCTTCGTCGCAAACGTCAGCGGCGTACGTTTCTTTACGTCTGTTGCCATCAGTGCGCCATATGCGGTTGACGCAACTTCGGAGGAATGAACCCGGAGGAACAAAACTGCGGGATCTATGCACAGCGCATGAAAATAGCGATACTGGCGAAGCATGCTGGCAATACGATTGAGCTGATTGAGCTGACTGAGCGACTGAGCCTGTATGCCGCTGAGTGGCTAAGTCTGGATGGCGCTCCCGGCATCATAGGCATAAAACTTTACGCAGGCATGCGCTTGTAAAAGTCGCAAACGCCTGCTGCGCAACCGCTATCCTCCAATGTGTTGCGGGAAAGCCCGCCGTATCCTTTGATGTTGTGCCGGAAAGCCTGCCGCCTGTCTCCGGAGCGCACGCTTTCCGGCGCTGCGGAGTTCGATATATTAATTTTTTAACCGACTGAGTCTGTTATAAAAAATTTAAAATGCATGTAATTCGTATGACAGTTCGACAACGATTCGATATAAGCAATAAATCTATATATCCGTGTTCGATATAATGAGGTTTGACTGTATAACTAAGATATCGTCATAGTGATCAGAAATATAAACGAGGGGCGGAAACATTAATTGCAGGTTTAGGTTATAGTACACGCATATGTACATAACAAGGTTCTCATTAAAAAAAACTACAGCACTCTTTTTCATTTATTTTCCGCAATTGAGAGAAACGGCCTTCCAGGTTAACACTGAACAGATGAAGCGACGGCAGCTTGACCACCTCATCAGGAAGAGAGGACCAGTGAGGGAAACGAGTTTTCCAAAACAGAATGATGTATACACTCACACTTTTCTAAATGGCGTGGCACTCATACTGTGGATATCCTATTCCGAAATTCAGCAGCATCTCCTTATTCGCCACAATGAGGAATAGCACATGCTCAAGATGCCGCGGAGTTTGCACATCCTGCTCAAGCTCGGAACATACCAGCTGCAAACCAAAAGGAAGTATGTAGATCATCAATTAACCACATTCTCCCAGGAACGGTTCAACTCGGTCCTACGTGCCATTTTCAGAGAGCCCAAACCAATATTCGATATTTATTTGTTTATGCCAAATTTCTCAAATTAAAATTAGCTGGCATTTATCAGTAGTAATACCGATAAATACCAGCCTTCACAATTGAGCCAAAGGTGCCGGCGCAAGCTCGTAGCTTCAAAGCAAGTTTCTACCACATGAGCCCGCGTACCGAGTGCCATCGCCGCAGCTACTATACTCCGTTTCACCTTATGTTGTACCGCAACGAAGGCTAGAAGCGCGAGCTCACAGCGTAGGCAGCTGCCCTTCTTGCACGAGAGCTTGCGCCGCCGAGATGTGCCCTAAAGCAAGGAGCTCGCGATTTTAGCCTTTCCTGCGGTACATCATAAGGTGGAACAGAGTATAGCTGCAGTCTCGCCATGTACACGGTACCGACAGTGGAGTACCTGCGATTGGCGGCCACCTTACGTACGGATAAGGGCACGAGAGCGAACACGAATGTTGTACACACTTACCCTGCGCGACGCTGTTAGCGAGAACACAATCTCGGCGTTTTTCCGCATTCGACCTCAAAGGCGAGTTAGTAGGCACGATACTTTACAGCTCAGGTGAGTGCCGCAAATGAGCACTTCCCACTTTACGTGACAGCAAAACAAAAGCAAAAAAATCAGCGTTCGCTTGCTCGCGCTAGCAGTTTCGCGCTATGTACTACGCTAATTCCACGACCACTCGCATTCGTGCTTTCCACTGGGAAAGAAGCAGAAAAATATTTTGGTAGCTGCGCTCACCTCTTTGCGTCGCCGTTTTTCCACAGCACCGCTGTGCCGCTCTCGCTTGCATTTTCGTGTGAAGAGCGATGGCACCATGCCAGGCTTCAAATAGGCCTGTTTTACAGGCAAGCCCAGACTCTGCAGTAACTTTGGGCTCGTCTTGTAGTCCTCGTCTTCGAAGTGTTCCATGCAAAGACAATCGCCTTTGGTGGGCTTCCATGTTGGCTGGGAAGGACGGGCCGCGCGAATCCACAGCTTGCGCAATGTGGGCTCACTCGGAAACTTGTGCGTAGGCCTGCTGCTGCAACATACGCTGTTGGAGCAGTCTCGTGCAGCGCAGTACCGCGGCATAATTATCAAAGAAACTCGATCCGAATGGATCGAGTTTCTTCGATCCCTCGATCACTCGACGCGGTTCTCCATTAGGACTGCAGCGGGACAAGCCAGGCTGCCAAGGAGCGAGAGGTCTGTGACGTCAGTTCCGCTCGGGCTCCTCCGCGGTGGCGTCAATCGTACCGGCGGCTTTCGGCCGACGGATTGCCCCATCGCGGCTTTTCAATCAAAGAAATATAATAGTCCGATCCCTTGGTATGGTATTGATTTTTAGGTATAGTAACGTCCGGGGCACCTCGTCCGTGGCTTATATTGAAAACTTCAGATATCGGTTCAGTATCCCTCTAAAGGGGCACTGACACATCAAAATATATTTTTTTTTTATTATCCGAAACGATTGGAAACAATGCGGGAACATTATCCTCAAAATTCGAAATTTGGGAATTCAGTATTTGTGAAGTCAAAAAACAATTTCCAAATGCCGAATTCAAAGTTCCCGCGCGATCCGCGTCGGTGCGTTGACGTCAAATATTGCGGAGTCCTGAGAGTCCACTTTCTTTCACGACTCCCTGCTGTTGCCATGGCGACCCAAAGCGAGGAGGAAAGGAGCAAGCGACGGCGGACCGGTTTTGAGCGGTGTCACCTGTTTTCCGTGGGAGGATACAAATCCAAGAGACGGCACCACCACGGACTCCGATTTTTGGTATTTCAAAAAGAAGGGCCGTAGTGCGTTTGCAATTGCGTTAAAAAACATGTTTTACGATTGCCGTTATTAAATGTTATAGAGATGTTGCCTACAAAGCTTCTAAATTTCATGATTCTTGACGTCACGAATCAAAAGAAGCGAGGAGGTGAGAGGCGGGAGAATCAAACACCAAAAATAAAAAGGCATGCGCGCATGCGCGGGAAAATTTTTTTTTTGCGATGGTATGACTGCAACTTGCATCGTTTTAGACAATAAAAAAAGATACGACCTTTGGGGTGTCAGTGCCCCTTTAAGGGCTTTCTAGAGAGTGTCGGTACTCCATGCGGTACTTTTCATGGTAGTTTTTTTCAGGCGCTGGATTCGTCACCAGGGTAGTTCTGCAGTCCAGCTGTGAGGATTTCACTGTGGAGAGGTGTTTCGTTCCACTGCCTCTAAGCTGAAGTTAGTCTCCTTTGCAGGTCTTCAATCTGGTTTAAGTTGAGAAACTTTTGTTGCAGACAGAAGAGCAGGGAGTCAGATACGATCTCAGATATCTGACTGATTAGCTTATTACTAAGGTTAGGCATCAGCTCTAGCAGCCATGGACTGCTTTTGAGTACAGAATAAGCCGGAGTACTCACCAGTGTCCAGGCACGGGGTCGGCAACTGGCCAGATGTCAAAGGCAGGGCATCAGCGTGGCAGCCTGCAGTTAAAGAACACATGATGTGTCAGCACTTTAACAGCCATGAACTGCTTTCGAGTTTCGAATACGGTGAGCAAGTTAGCCAAATTTGGTTTACTGTGCACGTGAAAGGGGGCAAAAAGGAGGGAGAGGAGGTTGACATTTTGCGCTAAGCTCCACCCCGGCACAGTCCAGAAGTGGTTTGAAGTAAGCAACATCTCGGCATCTCTAATGCCGGCCTCGCTGAAGTGGCGTTCATTGTCTCGGTATCGCTCTTTTTGGTCGCGCTGGGAACTTCCCGAATTAAAAGAGCGAGCAATTTTGTCCCGAGTGCCCTCCTCAATCGAAGGCACTAGAAATGTGCTTTGCTTTTGGGTGCAGTGCGTGCTTGTACGATTGACAGCATCCCGCTGTAAAAATTCCTGAAGGACGCAGTAAAGTTCGTTGCTTCTCTACTATGGAGGAAGGCCAGCTTCTTTCCACGTAGCTCGGCGATGCTGACTGAAGGATCAAGGAGACGACGTTCAAAGTTGAAGTAGGAAATGTATTTACAGGTAATTACAAATAGTTTACAGCATGGTGCGTGCACAGCACGGAATCTCGTCGTTCGACACTCTCCAGTTACAGTCGAGCTTTCCCCATTCTGCTTCGTCTCCCATTTTTGTCTCCTCATGAGACAAACCATGGCAGGTTCAAACAATCACTCTCCCCTCTCCGCCGTCACTTCACCAATCGTGTTTCGATTTAACTTTCCCAACTCCGCCCAAGAAACGCACAATGCCCTCTCCCTTGTCATTTTACCAATCGTGTTTCGATGTCACTTTCCCAAATTCCGCCCAAGTAACGCACAATGTCCTCTCCCTCGGCATGGCAAGGTCACCCACCCGGTTCCAGATGCCTTTAGCCGAACACTGGACGGTCGTCGGCCCTCTCTACCTCCTTTCAGCAGCCACTTCAGAAAGGTCCGCACTTCGGGAACCCGAGGCGCCGGTCCGATTAGTGGCGTCGCCGTAGACGACAATGAACGCACAATGCCCTCTCCCTCGTCATGGCAGGGTCACAAAGTTCCCCCTGGATTTCCCCGATCGCTGGACGGACGAGCGTCGACATTGTATACCTCCTTTTAGCCGGCACCTTTAAGAAGGTCCGCGTTTCGGGGACCCGAGGCGCCGAGCCGATTAGTGGCATCCCCAACTTCCCCTGCTTTTGTCCCGCGAAACATGCTTAGGAGGGCTGAGAATTGCATCCCAGGGTCGGCCAAACGTCAGCGGTATTACCGACGCCAATCTCTGAAAGAAGTGAATCCGGCTAATAAACAGGGATAATTCAAAAGCTTCCATTTCCTCCATTGTCTGCTCGAGACATTTCGAATATGATGAGATTAGTGAGATTAAGCCGACAAAAAGGCCTCTTTAAAAGAGGAGAACTTGGCCAATGTTGCCAATCAGGGGAATGGCTGCTACCAGCCACAAAAAACAGTCCGCCGATCATGGAAGTATATTCCATTTGTGGACCTTATCTTACTTTTAAAGATATAACCGACTCTACTCCCTATCAGGTTCATTTAATCCTTTGGCGGTGAAAAGCAAAATTCAAGGTTGATCATGATTAGCCGAACCGCCCTAACATACCGCGAAGAAATTTAGCCTTCAATTCCAAATTTCAGACTCGGAAGCCACCTTTTGAAACTATACCTGTCCACTCTGGTCCAGAGCTAACACGAGCCTCTCAATCTGCACGGATTTCATCTTGAACATAACAATTTGTGTGATCAAAACAACTTGTGTAGAAACACGAGATCGGCAGCGCGAAGCAACTACTCCTGCGGTACTCATTGCTCATGGCCTCACATTTTCTGCGAACAACGCTTTCCATACTTCATTGATTTCCGCAGAACAAATTCAGGTTCCATACGTTTTGAACGCCCCTCGTATGCATCAGCACTAGCTGCCAAGAAGCGCTTTTAAGCCGGAGTACTCACCGGTGTCCAGGCACGTGATAACCATTATGACAGATTCACAGATGGAACCTGTCATAATGGTTGTCGTCGGCTTTCCTTACAACTGCTAGGAAGCACTTTGCTGGCAAGGCGTGCGCTGCTTTAGATCTCTCTGCGGGGTTGCACAAAGTTTTCGTTTCTACTTCTTTTCTCGGGTTCCTACAGGTGCGTAAAACAAATTTTTTTATCTATGCGCATTCGACATTTGGCTGCCAAAAACTTTCTGCAAGACGTTTTCGTTTCACAGCTGGAACCTGTCATTAAAGTTGTCATCGGCTGTCTTTACAACTCCTCTGAAGCGCTATACTGTCAAGGCATGTGCCACTTTAGATCTCTCTTTGGGGTTGCACAAAGTTTTCGTTTGTACTTCTTTTCTTGGGTTCCTACCAGTGCGTAAAACAAATTTTTTGACCTGTGCGGCTTAAACATTTGGCTGGAAAAACTTTCTGCAAGACGTTTTCGTTTCACAGCTGGAACCTGTCATAAAGGTTATCATCGGATGTCTTTACAACTGCTCGGAAGCGCTTTGCTGTCAAGGCGTGCGCCACATAAGATCTCTCTGTGGGGTTGCACAAAGTTTTCGTTTGTAACTTCATTTCTCGGGTTCCTACCGGTACGTAAAACAATTTTTTTTATCTATGCAGGTTCCATTTGGCTGCCAAAAACTATCCGCAAGACATTTTCTTTTCACAGCTGGAACCTCTCATTAAAGTTGTCATCGGATGTCTTTACAACTCCTCTGAAGCGCTATACTGTCAAGGCATGTGCCACTTTAGATCTCTCTTTGGGGTTGCACAAAGTTTTCGTTTGTACTTCTTTTCTTGGGTTCCTACCGGTGCGTAAAACAAATTTTTTTGATCTGTGCGGCTTAAACATTTGGCTGGCAAAAACTTTCTGCAAGACGTTTTCGTTTCACAGCTGGAACCTCTCATTAAGGTTGTCATCGGCAGTCTTTACAACTGCTAAGAAGCGATTTGCTGTCAAGGCGTGTGCCACATCAGATCCCTCCGTGTGGTTGCACCAAGTTTTCGTTTGTTACTTCTTTTCTCGGGTTCCTACCGGTGCGTAAAACAAATTTTTCGATCTGTGCGGCGTCAACATTTGGCTCGGAAAAACTTTCTACAAGACGTTTTAGTTTCACAGCTGGAACCTGTCATTAAGGTTGTCATTAATTGGCTGTCTTTACAACTGCTCGGAAGCGCTTTGCTGTCAAAGCGTGTGCCACATCAGATCCGTCCGTGGGGTTGCACAAACTTTTCGTTTGTACTTCTTTTCTCGGGTTCCTATTGGTGCGTAAAACAAATTTTTTGATCTGTGCGCCTTCAACATTTGGCTGGCAAAAACTTTCTGCAAGACGTTTTAGTTACACAGCTGGAACCTGTCATTAAGGTTGTCATTCGCTGTCTTTACAACTGCTCGGAAGCGCTTTGCTGTCAAGGCGTGTGCCACATCAGATCCCTCCGTGGGGTTGCACAAACTTTTCGTTTGTACTTCTTTTCTCGGGTTCCTACTGGTGCGTAAAACAAATTTTTTGATCTGTGCGGCTTCAACATTTGGCTCGGAAAAAACTTTCTACAAGACGTTTTCTTTTCACAGCTGCAACCTGTCATTAAGGTTGTCATTCGCCGTCTTTACAACTGCTCGGAAGCGCTTTGCTGTCAAGGCGTGTGCCACATCAGATCCCTCCGTGGGGTTGCACAAACTTTTCGTTTGTACTTCTTTT